ATATCAAATAATTTAATAATTATTGGTTAGAATAAATTCTTTTTTAATATTACCCATATTTTAAAGATCTGAATAGCTATTATAATATGATTTCGTTGTCAAGTTTTTTAAATTTTCCTATACTTGTATTTTGATTGGTCATTCTAGCTTTTGTAACAATGTTTTCCCCTTATGAAGGATTGTTAATTAATTTGAAACTTTTAAAACCATTTATTTTACATTCAACATCATCACTTGATAAGTCACCAGAGGTGTTGAAACAAAATGGCTATTTTTGTAGTGATTTTATAACATATTTATGTTATAATTTTTTTTAAATAAATAATTATATCTGCTCTACTCTGTATTTAGCACTCTTTTAAGAATAGCAATTGTTATTATATACTTGGGTGGATTGGTGGTTATATATATATATATATATATATATATATATATATATATATATATATAAAAAAGCCCTTAAGCCTTTTTTTATGCAAAATACAGCTTTATTTTTTTTTCTGGACCCCACAATTTCCAGTTTTTTTAAAAATAAATATGGGGGGGGGGACCTCAAATCCCCACACTCCAGAACTGCCCTAGAATCAATTTTTAATTTCCTACTCATTATTGTTCCACTCTCTACAGAAATAATGCAACATATCGCCATAACTCTTGACAACAGAAGATTTTTTTTCTCTGTTGTTCAAAGTGTAGTATCTTCTCAAGATTCCTTGAACACCGAAGAGAATAACTTTCTGCCCCCAAACTCTAAGTTAACTAAAGTTTTGTATCAAAACCATTTAAATGACTATTTGTATAACAAACTATGGTAACGTCAAGGTTACTTTCAATGCAGTAAAATATTTTCAAAAAATGAATTTATTTATGTTGGGAACTAGTTTGTCATGTGTTCATTACAACAAAATAGACTTTGTGAAAAAGAATCTGTTTTATTTATTCATAGCATTGATTTTAATAAGAAAATTTAATAACCATAATTTAATACTTCATTTTAGTTACCTTCTCTAGATAAAAGTAGGCATGTTCACTAATTCGCCAAAATTCATAGCATGAAGAAAAAAATTGTTAAACTTAATAAAAACAAAGTTTTACTGCAAAAATGTTTATGTTATTATTAATAGGAAAGACCAAAGTATTTTTTAATTATTTAAAAAATTTTTTTAATCCTTTCTAGTACGTTTGAAATTTTGATTAAAATCTTTTTTATTTTAAGTAATGTAATATTTAGCATTATTTTTTTTTTGCGCATTTTTCAGTTGAAGTGATTGTATATTACTTTTTTATGATAAAGTAAGTAATGTTGTTTTCAAATCAGATTAATTTAACATTAAATTTGCTAATTTTACTCAAATAACGTACCACAAATATATATATTACTTTTGGAAGATTTTTAAAACTGATAAATGTCCAATGTTTATGAAAGGTTGATTTTAACTATAGATGGCCGAAAAAGAGCCACTCTTTTTTTAATGGAGTTGGAGCGGCTCGTTTTTGAAAATGGGGAGCATGAGGGGAGCCAGCTCCAGTTTTGGGCATAGAAGCAGGATTGGTTCACGTCAAATATATATATATATATATATATATATATATATATATATATATATATATATATAAATGATCACCATGAAAAGACAAAATTTATTTTTATTACCACTCGTGACAATAGATAAAGCAAAACTGAAAAACGGGCTAGCTAACCAGTTTTGAACCTCACTCAACACAGCTAAATCGAGGTTAATAAATTAAATAGAATTAGAACTAAAAAGAGATGGACAATATGTACTGGGAGTGTGTGTGGGGGGATTTTTGCTTAGATGGAAATTAGTTGAAGGCCTAGTACGAAGTCCTGTACAAAGACAGGGCTTCAACAATAAAATATAAATGGCCTTCAACACTTTCAAGTGGTAATTCGAGTGGTAAATGAGTCCACACTGAAACTAGTAGCACAATTATGGCTATTTATTAAGTGCTCTGCAATGGAAGACTGATACATATTGGTCAGAATATCTGAAGGAGTGTACTTAAGATTGTGGATTTTTGTTGGAATGTGCTGCTTTATTCCAACATCCAGCCTTTGAGTTGTTCTCCCCATGTAGTGTGAGCCACAACTACATTTAAAGGAATAAATTAAAGAACTATTATGATGTGGAGGGAAAGACAGGTTTGGCAGAAAAGACCACACAAGTGTTAGTGGCAAAGTAACAATGTCAAACTGCTATGGAAACCTACCTAGCATATCTATCACTGATATTATGCAGCCAAGGAAGGTGCAGGCACACAGGACATCTTTGTACTATAGCAGGTTTAACTTTATTGAATTCAGCAATTTTATTCTTAATTATTGATTGAACAATGCCCAACAGATAGGTTTATTACCACTACTCTCTGTAACAATGCCCAAGTTCATCATCCAACTTAATCTTAGAACAGATCATTAAAGCCCTATGGGTAAGAGTTTTAATTAAATTAATTTTACGTTTTATGATAAACAGATCACAAAACCCAATGAAGATCTACTAACGAAAACAATTTCTTGTGTAAATTGTAAAGCTGGATGCATATTATTAAGGGATGAAAGAAAATGCTCTGCTTCAATCTTGTTATCAAAGAGACAAAAGGTGTCATAAACGTAACGGAAGTAAACGTCAGGTTAATTAGGTTTCAATAACATACTTTCTTCGTGGAATCCAACGTAGATATTTGCTAAAATGGGTCCCAAGGAGGAACCCATTGAAAATCCATCAACTTCCCTGTACATGATGCCATCGAAACTAAATTCAACTGACATCGTGGCAAATTTCATCAGTTCGATGAAAACATTCTCATGAATAAAAGGATGAGGCAACTGATATATATAGGGCATCAATTTATATCAAGTCTCAGCAAATAAAAAAAATCAATTTGAGGTTTTCTTCAGTTTATTGTTGCCTTATCTACTCCTCCCTACCTATTATGAAGGCCTAATCTAGAGCCATCTGCAGGGGCTAGTTTAAATGCTGCCTGATAGGGCAAGAGTTCCAAAAGAAATATATATATATATATATATATATATATATATATATATATATATATATATATATATATATATAAAATAAAAGTAAAATAAATTATTAGGTACCTCCAAAACTTCGGTATACCTAAGGTTGAAATGTATTTTTCATAAATGAAAAATCCTTACTAAAACTTTTCTCCAGCTTCAATTGAGAGTTAAAGGATTCTAATGCCAGAAAACAAAATACTGTGGTGTATTTCAAATAGAAATTATAATGATTTTTAGTTGATTCTTCTGAAAAACCAATTGAAATGGCCATTTCTAATTTTTTTTTCATGAGAAATGTAAACAAAACTTAATTCTTGGTTTCAAAAATCCCACAAAAATAAAATAGACATTTCTGAAACATTACTTTCATAATATTAAATTTAAAGTTAAATTATCTGTTCTGAAACAAAAATATTACTTATAGCTTAAAATTTTCTAGACAAGCATTTCTTAAGCACAGGGTCTTTATTCTCTTGTCTCCATTTGATGGCCGAAGATGTTGATGGGTTTAGTATGGCAGACCAGAATTGACATAAATTTACAAATTTTAAGTCAGAAAGGTTTGTTTTTGTTTCTTATAATGTAATAATTTAAAATACTATAAAAATTTCTTACATCACTGCATTACCTCTATAATGGTATTTCATTATTAAAAAAAGTAAGATTTGATAAATAATTATAATTATTATATTATCAGTTATTACATTTTTAATAACTGAGATAATTAGTAAAATTATTAATTATTATATTAATAATTAAATTATGTCACTCAGTTACAGTGGGGAAAATAAGTATTTCATTCCCTGCGGATTTTCTGAGTTTGCCACTTTACAAAAAATGAGAACGTCTATAATTTTCAGGGTAGGTCAGTCTTGAAAGTGAGAGATAGAATATAAAAAAATTCTAGGAAATCACATATTAATTTTTGAGCATTCCAGTCTTGTGCGGGTATACAATTTTGTCCCAGATGTCCTTAGGCAATTCTTTCGTCTTGCCCATTATGGAGATTCTGATTCATTGAAAGATTCTGTGAACTAGTGTCTTTTATACAGGTAATGAGTACTTGATTAGGAGTAACAATTGAGTAATAGGACTAGTCTATATGCCTCCTGGTCACATAACTGGCCGGTGGGGACTGAATCATTGCTAGTTGGTAGGGGGTGAAATATTTATTTTTTCAATAAAAAAAGAAATAAATGTTCAAAAATTAATATAATATGAGTTTCTAGAATTTTTTTTAATATTCTATCTCTCACTTTCAAAACAGACCTACTCTGAAAATTATAGACTGTTCCTAATTTTGTAAGGTGTCAAACTCAGAAAATCAGAAAGGGATGAAATACTTATTTTTTGCCTACTGTATTAAATATTTAAATTGATAAACGAGATAATAATTTTATTATCTTAATTTAATAACTGAGATAATATAAATTATATTATTTGTTATCAAATCTAGAGAGTGTTATAGAGGAGGAAAATTTTTTTTTTTTAAATAATTAAAAAAATACTTTGTTTTTTCCTCTTAATAACAAACATTTTGCCAATAAAACTTTGGGGTCTTTTATCATCATACTATACTGCTTTTTAGCAAATTATTAGAGGTACCTAATATATCTCAATAAGCATCCCAAATTTCAGGATTGTGGGTCCAGATCTGGACTAGAATGCTTTTAAGTTGCTCATGGAGTCAGCCTGATTACAAAATGGTATGGTATGTTGTACTACGGCTTCTAGGAGTAAAGTTGAAAACTTAGACAATTTTATTTTGAAACACTAATTTGAGAACAGTAATTTTTTCATTTGAAAAATTAGAGTTGTGTCCCATTAAGTTGAAAAAGCATGACAGTGAGATACGCACACACATTCTTTTTGTATCAATCTTATGCAAATTACCACATAGAATTATTAATAGTGCATTAATAATGTTAGTAAAATTCATGTTAATTATCATAAGTACCTTCAATTTGAGAATAGCATCTACTGCAAGACTAGAGAATTGCTCACGATGTTGGATGAGAATCTTGGAGCCTAGAGTTGTTTGAGCAATGTTTTTAAGGTCTTGTCGAAATTTTTCAGGATTATTTCTGGAAAAAAAAAAATGTAGCAAATGACTAGTTACTGACTAAAATGATGTGCAGCAAAAAGATAAGTCTGGCAACCATCAATTTTCATGACATTCTTATAGCTAAAGACAAAAATATTTTTGATGTCAGCCTACTTCAGTAGGTCAATAACTGATGTGATATAGGTCAAGATGAATTCAAATCAGCAAAACATCAAAAAAACCAATGCTTTGATGATTTATTTTTTTTTTTTTACAAAATTTGTAAATTCATAAAATTCAAAATATTTTAAAACTCCAGTATACTCCACACCTTACTCAAAAGCAAAAAAACATGGCATCTAAAATCTATCCAACAGAAAAGATATGAAAATACAAGGTGTGAGGAGTAAATTGTCACCATTTTATATTTTTAATTTCACGCATACATGCTGTTTATTTTTGATGTTGTCAACTGCACAGTATAGTAGGGTTAGTTGGGCACTGTCTGCAAGAAAAAGAGCAACATGATGCAATCACTCCACCAGATATTTGGAAACGGCATGCTGTACAGCTTGGCATTCACATCAGAAGCTCCAATACAAACACTTCAGAGTGTCAATTTGAGCACTGTGCAGAGGACTTGGAAAGAGTTTGAAGAGTCTACAAATGTACACCAGCTCGGAAAATTTACTGATTGTTGGTAAGAAAAGAATACCTGAATTTGTTGGTGAGGACCTCAGATTTAACACTGAGGTCTACATCAAGTGCCTTGAGGAGGTAGTGCTGACCTGGGTCAAGAGAGTGGCTGCTGAAAGACCCTACTACATCACCCCTTACATCTGGCCACCTAAATCCCTGGACTGCAAACCCCTCGATTATCATGTGTGGGGAACAATTGAGCAAGTGACCAACAAAACTACTTGTAACACCAAAGATGAACTGAAAGAATTATGGTAGCATTCATCAACTTAAACAAATACATTGCATGCCAAATTATTATCGAGATATCTTTTTTCTAATATTTCAAAAACCGTCCAATCAATTCACACAAAATTTTCACACAATATTGGCAACACTGACCTGCGCAATCACTGAAATTTTCAGTGATTTGAGTGTGCCAAATTATTAGAAAAGTGTAAGAATTTAGTAAAAAGATAGGGCATAAAAGCGGTTTAAGTAATGCTAAAAAGAAAACACCTCAGAACTCTCAAAAGGTAAATCTACCCTAGAAATTTCTAAAATGATAGGGAGGTGTCATCAAACAGCGAAATTTTCACCGCCAACCCTACACAAGTAAGCAAAAGGGCAGATAAAGGCAAGCCAAGGGTTATTTCACGTCGTCTCATGTCACGACTTAAACGAGGGGCCATAAAGAACTCTGGACTTACCAGCCAAGAGCTTTTCAGTCACATTGGGGATCCTACTGTGTCCTAAAAGTACTCGGTGTCGGTATCTGAGGGAAATAACAACAGTCAAACCTGTATTGAAGCCTCCGTTGACGAGAAATCATTCAAAATCAATTGAAATGGGCCAAGGACAATATGAAGATTGTCTTCTCTAAAGTTTTGTTCACAGACGAAACTCGAGCAACATTTGATGGGCCAGATAGATGGTGCAAAGGCTGGGTAATGAACGGACAGAATTGCCATCAGCGTTTGAGACGCCAACAAGGCGGTGGAGGCATAATGATCTGGGGTGGTATTATTGGAAAAACATTAGTGGGCCCATGGAGAGTACCAGATGGCGTCAAAATGACTGCTGATGCATACATAGCATTTATGAAGGAGTATCTTGAACTGTGGATGAAAAGGCAAAGAGTTGCCTTCAGAAGGACCATTGATTTTATGCAAGATAATGCTCCCTCACATGCTGCTCACAAGACTACTGAATATTTGAAACAGTTAGGCTTCGATGGACCGTGAAAAATGAAGTGGGCAGCAATTCTTTGGATTTGAACCCAATCGAAAACCTTTGGAGCATCATGAAGCGAAGACTGTATGCCAACGGAAGACAATTCAGGAGCAATGCTGAGTTGTGGGAAGCAATTCTTGACATCTCGTGGCATTACAGCAGATGACATCCTACAATTAACAAATTCTATGGATCGTCAACTTTTTCAAGTAATTTCAAAACAGGGAAAGCACATTCCCTATTAATTTGTTTAAAACTGTGCCTTTGTTTGATTATCTTATTTATTAGCTTCTTTTGATCATAAACATTCACGTGCAACATTAATAAACGTTTTGTGTGCTTAATTCTGGGATTTTTACTAAACCTTTCTAATAATTTGGCATGCTCAAATCACCGTGCTGATAACAAATATGGCGCCAGTTTGTTTACATTGCGCAGATCAGATCGAAAAATGAGTAATTTTATAGTTATTTTGATGAAATTAGTATGCAAAGAAAATTTTATATTTTCTCTTTATAAAGATACAATTCTTCCTGTTGTGTGATAATTAGTTTTCATTCCAAGTTATATATTTTTTTTTCCCCCTTTTTTGCCCTACTATCAAATTTTGCTTCTGTCTGTATGTACATAGTGAAATAGGAATTGTTTTATTGATGTACTCCCTGCTTAGGCTGGCCTTATCTAAAATTATTAGTATCATCTTTGCATTTGTAATAATTTTTCACTTTTTTGAAACCTGCATCTTCACATAGACACTGTTAAAATGGGCTTCTAGCCCAATCACACTCAAGACGGAAAATCTGACAAACTTCGAATGGTCATAACTCAGTTGCTAATTGAGCTAATAAGATAAATTTGATATCATTTTTTGTTTTGTCAAGCTCTATATGCCTACATGAAAAGCCTTTAGATACACTAAAGAAAAAATAGTTTGGGGTACCTAATAGAAGCAAGTTAAACCAAAAACAAACCATCTGAAATGAGTGAACAATAGCTAGTAATAGCTAGCTTGCTGACTAAAGTGGAGTGTAATGACAAGTATCAGGTAATGTAAGTGTTGATAAATGATGCTAAAAACACGAGCAATTAATGATTTTTACATAGTAAAAAAAAAAAAAAAAAAAATTCAATTCTGCAATGACAGCATGCACTATCAAATTTGAGATGCTCCTGAAGATGCATATTTTAACGCTGTGGATGATATTGTAATATGCTTCTTTGAAAGGTATTTTTTTTTTAACAATACTCTACTATGCCTTCTTACAATATGTGTATAGAAGTCATGCTCTCTTAATTTTTTTTTTTTTTTTTAAAAATGTCTCACTTTTTGTCAGCATATCTTTTCTGACATTGATTTGTAATCTCAAATTTTTGTACTGTATTTTATGGGCTATTAAATAGCCCATAACATTCCTAGTTTAATACAAACTAAAAACTTTTGGTGAAGCTTGCATTTAGCCATAAAATTTAGAGACATCTTGCAAAATTACTTATTACATAATCCTATATCTCAGAGAATGGTTTTGTTTTGTTTTTGTGGCATATCAAGCTTTTCTAGATTACTTAATGCTTAAATTAATAACCATGCATCAGCGTGGCTTGCACAACAGCCCAGCTAACAGGAAGTCCTTTTTTGGGACTGGCTTTATCCCTCTGCACATATGCAGTTAGCATATTCTTGACCCAAATGACAGAGCAGAGAAATTTGCAATGTAAATTTTTTCAAAAATACAAATGTCATAATTTGAATATTTCTGTTCTTGGCTAATTCCTGAATAGAAATTACAAAGCTATGAGAATGACATTCAAAATACCATAAAGTTTAGTCTACAAATGATTTAAAAGTACTTTAGAACTTGATGCAGATACTTAAAAAAAGCTTCTCAATTTAACACTCACTAAAGTATCATTCCTAGCTACTATAAGCAAAAAAATATACATCTAAGTATAGAAAAAAAGCCAAAGCCAACTCCAACTCACCCATTGTCAACAGCAGAATTTTCCAAAGCCTCACGTGCTGCAATAGTAGCTTTTCTCCAACCAGCAATGATGGTTTGTGGATGTATTTTCATTCGAACAAGATTTTCTGCTTCCTTTACACAGAAATTGAACATGTGTATATTTTTAATATTAGAAAATATTTAGAGTATGAATAAATGCAATAAAATATAAGCACATACACTATAAGTTAAAATTAAAAGCCAAACATAACATTGTATTATTTCAATTTTAAATGCTTTAATTCAATTAGATTATTCATCAATTTTTATTTAAGTAGTTAAAAATTAATTCTTCAATATTTTAGTTTTGAAATAGTGCTAAATTTTTTAGGGTAATTTCTCACCTTTGAAAATACATTTACAATTATTTTTAGTCATAAATAAAAAAAGAAAAAAAAGAAAAAAAGAAGCAGTTTGATTAAATAAATGTTCAGGATTGAAATATGAAGTAAAAATTAAGTTAATGTTGAAAATAGAAAAAAGTTATTTTTTTTATGGAATAAAACTGAATGACATTTGAAAAAAAAAAAAAAAAACCCCAATAACATTACTTTAAGAAACATCATCTTATGATGTCAAACAAACATTTCCTTTGTGTCTACTTGCAATCATCACCTCCAAACAAACTATACTCATTTAACCTTTGTACGTATACCTCTGTATCACTTAATAAGGTAGTTATCAGATCATCTTAACTCATTATGAAAGTAACAAGAGGAAGTTGAGTATTTTTGGAACAAAAGTAATGTCTGAAGATGAGAATCTTATAAAAATGTTGAAAAATATTTTAACTTTTTTCCAATTTATGATTTTGCCTTTCAATTATTTGGAACATTGTAAATCTTTCAAGATTTTATGCAAGATCTTGTGCTAAATAAATAATATAGATTTTAAACTGACAATGCTAAACTGTACCTTTAATAATTCACAAGCAAAAACAACAACTGATGTGGTTCCATCACCAACTTCATCATCTTGTACTTTAGAAATATCTGAAAAGGAAAAAAATCAGGAAGCCAGAGTATCATTTTACAACTGTTCACAGCTATCGTTCATATTCCTGACATGAGGTACTCTACTTAATTTTCCAATAAGTTATTTCAGAATTCTTAAAAAAGGTTTTTCAATATTCACAAAAATACATTGGAACTAAAATGTTAATAACTATGAAAATTTCAGTATTTTATAACCATTACTTCCATTAAAATTATTTACAAATACAGTGGGGAGCATAATTATAAGGCCAGCCTTAAACTTTAGCAATTGAGCTAATTTTTTTTTACTATTTCGTATATTATTATATAGTATTAATAATCTGAAAGTTTCAAATAATTACTATGAGTAGAAAATCAGTTATTGTAAAATTATAAAAAAAAAAAAAAAAAAAAAAAACGATTGGTGCAGAATTATAAGGCCATTAAAAAAGTTTTATTACAAAGATGACGAACACTAAAAATTTATAGAAATTAATATTTAGTTTGTTTTCAGATTGGCTATTACTTCAAACACTATTTTTCATAGAATAGATTAACTTCTGAGTATCGTTTTGGTTAATTGAATCCCAGGTTTTCAAAATTTCACTTTTCAATTTATGTCCATTCTTCTATACTCATCTAAAACAATATCCCCCAAAAGTTCTCGATAGGATCAAGATCAGGTGATCAGGCCAATCCATAACACTGATTCAGTTAGCTTGAAATCACTCCATAGTGGACTTGGCTTTGTACAACAATACATAAAATATTAAAAAATGATCTCAATTGCTAAAGTTTAAACATAAAATTCAGCTGGCCTGATAATTTTGCACCACACTGTATTTACATGCTGTTTTATTTTTTTTAAATTTCTATCTACTCAATGGGCACTTCAAAGTTATTTTTTTTTTTAGGGAATTTCACAAGCCTGACTTCTATTGAAACAACTTATATAAAAAAAAAATCCTTACTGTTTTTTTTTTTTTTATACAATGAGTGGGAAGAAGTGATCACTTAAAATGAGTGTGTCATGTTGGGAAAGCAGTGGGGGTAGAGGCAATGTAGATGCTGAATACCATAAGCCTCTGGAGATAATGCTGTGTGTGAATACACTGCCAGACACTGGCCCTAGAAGTTTAGGTTGGGAGATCTGTCCCTTTGTGATGAACCCTGCAGTGGCCAGACAAGTCCAGGATGATGAGGCCTTAAAGGTGGCCATAAGGAAGACAATAGGCAACCTGTAGTAAGCTTGCTGAATGCTTCCCAGTTTCTGATAAACACTCAGATTTACACTGTATAGGGAAGCCGTATAAGTTGAATAAGTGGGTTAGCCACACACTGTTGAAAGCCAACAAGCAACAATGAGTGACAACCTGTTTCTTGTTGCTTTTTTAGCATTGCAATGTACCCATATTTGGTAGAGTGCTCACCAGTAACAAAAGGTGGGTCCTATATGACACTCCTAAATATGCCAGATATTGGTTGTCACCACAGAACCACGTCTCAAGGCTACCTCTACACCCACACAAGATCATATTCTGTATCTGGTGGACTAGTCAACGAGTGGTGCACTATGAGCTGCTTACCAACAGGCCAAACAATCAATGTGGACCTGTACTTGCAGCAGAAGCAAGCATTGGTTATTTGTAAAGTACCACCACAGAAAATACTATAGCTGTTGGTAGCAGCTCATAGTGCACCACTCATTAACTAGTCCACCAGATACAGAACATGATCTTGTGTGTGTGTAGGGGTAGTCTTGAAGCTTAAAATGAATTTTAAAAATGAAAAATCTTTCTAGAAGCTTTTTAATTTCAAGCTCATAGATTAAATTTAATATTTCCAATAAGCGAAATATCTTTCTTTATTTCAAAACTAATTTAAATTGACTGGAAGGATTTTTTTTTTCTCTCTAAAATAGCTCATTAGAGCCCTTTTTTAGTCATCTTTTATTGCAATCTTTATTAAAAAAGATATCAAAAATAAAATATACTTTTAACTTTATTTGAGGAATATTAGTTGATTTAAAGTATAATTAATCTGATTTGAAACAAATATTTACTCCAAATTTAAAACATTGCAGAAATGCATTTTTTTTAAAACCTGACTGAGTTGTTTAAGGTATTGACAGCTTGGTAACAGATTGATATTTATCTAATGTTGTTCTATTGGGGCCTTAGGTGTTAAGTAATTGAATTAGCATGAGTTCCTTGTATATATCATTTTTAAGTACTAAGTAATCTTAAGAATTTAATAAAATATTCTTCGTATTGAATTTAAAAAATTTTTTGGCTGTAAATTTACTATAGTTATCGCCCTTATTTTCTGAAAATGTGCATGGGCAAAAATTGGCACACTTATATACATACCAAAAAACTCAAAATTCTTTTATGGCAATATATTTATATCCTTAATATATCTCATTTATAAAAGCAATTAAAAGCTTTACTAATTAAATAATGTCAGTTTTATTGCATTTTTGATTTTATGATTCTGTGCAGATTTTTGGTGAATAGCGTTTCTGTTTGACACACACATACAAAAAAAAAAAAAAAAATCTTCAAGGAGTCCTAATCTAAATATGAAAATGGCGAAATTTTAATTTCTCAAAATTCATTCATTTTTGTATAAGTCATGAAATTTGATTTTTACAAGAATTTTCAAAACTTTTTACTGCAAAAAATACACTAACTTTGGTCTTTCCTTTTAATAAACATTTTGTCAGGGCATCTTGATATGCTCTTTTTCAGAAAAATTTCTGGAGGTTCCTAATTAATTGCAAGGATGCACTGCTTGCCCATCCCAATGCCAGACCTTATGTACAATACAGTGACTTGGCTGAGAGACACTGTGCCATTCCACCTTACTCCCTGGACCTTGCACCAACAAATTACCACCTATTCCATTCCCTGGACAACCATCTTCACGGGCTGACTTGTGACAAGCACTCACAGACTTCTTTGCATCCAAATCCTGACTTTTACTGTTGGGGGCATTGCGTAGCTGAAAGCAGATTGGCAAAAAGGTTCTGGATGCCAATGGAGATTACTTTGAGAACTAAATGTATGTCTGATTTGCTGCATACGATCGTTTTTTTCTTCTAATAAATCAAAGAATGACAAGGATATTTTGGTTACTTGTATCTACAAATATTCATTGAAAGAGGAAGAAATCTGTACATACCAACTAGTACTTTTGCAGCTGGGTTGTCAACACCCAAAGATTTTAAAATTGTAGCACCATCATTGGTAACTTCAATTGATTCAACACGGCCTTGTTTCAGTAATATCTTATCCTAAATATAAGATGAACACACAAAAGATATAAAAGTATATGTTACATTGTTTTTTGTTTTTTCACACAGAAAATTGCAGATAAAAATTCAGATGAAATGAATGCAAAAAAAATCTGCTTTATTGAAATGCTAGAATGTAAATGAAAATTTGTTTTAAATAAAAAGCAAGTTATAAATTGCTTTTTATTTAAAACAAGGGCTTCAGTATTTTCTCAGATTTGTTTGTTCAATAAAAAAGTTTATAACATTCAATTTTATTAACGTTAAAATAAAATTAAAAAGCAATTTTCTAAATTTATGACTATAAATAAACCAAAACCTGATACTTAGCAGATATTTATACACTGAGTACAATATTATATAATTAAAATAAAAACAAAAGAATCTCAAATAAAATTTCTATTACATTCTTTTTTATGCAGTTTTAAAAAAACTAAGCTATAAAGTTAAGCCCCTTGGATAACAGCTGAATACACCAACGATGCATAGTATAAATTTTATCACTAATTTCTAAAGCAGCAATCTGAGAGAACAACTTGCATATTTGACCCTATTCCATGGGTTGTTAAACTTGTTGGTCTTATTACATTTTGACAATATAGGCAAATGTCAAATTTGTCTATTTATTCCACTTATTCAGGATCTATTGATAACATTTAATACTATGATTGAATAAACCTACAAAATGTTCAATTATTCACATATCTTTCATTAAAATTGTAAGAAAAACTTACCATCCCTTTTGGTCCAAGAGTACTTTTGATGAGATCACCAATTGTGATTGCTCCAGCAAAACAAGACTAAAAGAATGAAAGACATCTGAGCTCAACAATTAAATGTGATTCATACAAGACAATAACTATATTACAGGTAACACTTTGGAGATAACAATATTTTCTTCAATGGATTGCTGAACAATATTAGGCAAGAAATTAAAATTATTTAACCATCAAAATGTATAAAATAAGAAATAATAAAATAAACAAAGAAAATATTCTTACCAAACGAGCAATTTCAGATTTTTCTTCTTCAGCACCAATATTCAGGATTTGTACAGGGTTAAGTGGGTTTAAAACAGCCTGGAAACAAAGTATGTATAGAAGATTAATCTAGCAGAAATCAACTTAGCAAATAAAAGAATTTGTATAAAATTTCTAAATGAAATTCTCAAGCATTTTTTTTTCATGAAATGTGTACATTTTAATGAAATAATGAGAAGTGTATTTGTCACAATCATTTCATTTCCCCAGCGCATTTTGCCTCACTGTGGTTGCCACTCCCCTCCAATCTCACAATTGTGGTTTAAGTTCATTCAGAATAGTGCAATGGCTTGCCAGTTCCTTTTGCACAGGGGATGTTGAGGTTACTTTGCCCCTCCTCTCGAAAGTGGATTTGTTTTTGACTTTACCTAGAAAGACAGGACCTACAAGGTGGTTTGAATTCAGTTTCCTTCTTCTAGATTGATTGCCACCCAAGGCTATAGGACCCAGTGTGTCTTGATATCTTATCCATACCTTTCCAAAGGGTATTAGTTTGTAAGTGAACTTGACTGGAAGTTGAACTTGGCTCTCTGATTGCTCAATCTGAGCCACTAACCATTACTTCAATGTGACTCAAAAACGCTAAAAATGCACATTTTAAATGTAAATTCAAATGTATCAGAATTCAACAGCTTTCAGCAAAGAGTTTTAAAAGCTTTTGGAGCAATGCTTTTTATTTTTCTTTTATTCACTTTCAGCTCCAATTAGAGAGAAAGAGAGAGAAAAAAAAGTAGAGGAATACAGTACATGTCATGTACAAATTGGCTGGAGGGGTAAACTTGATACCCAAATTAAAAAAAAAAAGAAGGAAAAAGAAAAAAGGAGGAAAAAGGAAAAAAAGAAAAGAAAAAAGAGAACGAGAAGAGAGACGAGAAAAAAAAAAAAAAAAAAAAAAAAAAAGAGCAAAAGTCATTTTCATTAAAAATAGAAAAACGGAAATTCTTTATTTGATTTTAGCATTATATATGATTTTTTAAAAAAAAAAAAAAAAACATACCAAGATTGATTTTCTTTATGTAGGATGTAAACTTTTTGAACAAGACTTGTGCTAAAAAAAATAAAAATAAATGAAAGACTGTTTTCTGAAACTTTTTGGTCACAAATTAAATTTCATTTACTTTAAAAACTCAAAATAAATTAGTGCATTTCAAATGCTATTACTTTATATAAAATGCCGACTTTTCATGTCAAGAGGAATCTCATTCAAGAAATTTACATCCGATGTAAAAGAAATAAATCTGGTAAGCAGAAACTGTTTAAAATGCTAAAACTGACTATAGCCGATTTTAAAAATCATTTCACTTAGTATGACCACCAACAAAAACGTACTTTAAATAATTTAAATATCATCTGTGAAATTTTGGTTTACTTGAAAGATAATTACAGTTGCTCCATAAAAAAGAAAATTAGTTTTACATATTTAAATGAAAATTTTAGAAGTAAAAAAAAAAAAAAATTCCTCAGTTGGGTAGGGTTTGGGAGCAGGCAAGAAAATATATTTCTTTTAGTTTAAAGATACTTGAAGATATTTTGGTAAAAGTTTTTGCAAGATCAAATCAGAAAATCTTGAAAATTTGTGTCATCAAATAAATTGAGACCCAAGGTTTAAAATATATTAAAAAAAAAAAAAAAAAAAATTTCTTTCTTCAAGCTTTTATTTTAGTTTTAATTCCAAGCCAATAAATTAAATTTAATATTTCCAATAAGCAAAATAAGCTGAACTGAATCAAATACTCTTTTTTTATTGTCAAATCTGTCAATACAATAATTCTCTTCATTAAAAAGTCTTTCAAAAGTAAAAAAAGTAAAATATACTCTTCTGAAGCTTTATTCTAGGAAGATTAGTGCAGGGTTGCCAACGTAGAAAAAGATTTGTTGCTACAAATCTACAACAAAAGTTACAAAAAAAAAAAAAGAAAAAGAAAGAAAAACACACCTTAGCATCATTGTCATTTCCTCTGTAAATTTGATCATTTCTTCAGTATGCAGAGAAGAAGGCTCTGTATTTTTGTAATATTCTAACGTTCCCATTTTAGAAATGAATACAAATTACCAGAAAACATAACTGCATTTTCCTACTCTTTAAACCAAATCTTATTGCTGATATGCTATTGAGGGTTCATTTGTTCAGCTGGTTTCTTAACTTAGTTTTAATTATATTAATTTGGCTATATCGGGCATTCCACTTCTGCATTTGAATGAGGAAATTAAATAATTTTTGGTGCTAAGCTAACAAGGTGATGAAGGGATTTTCTCTTACAGCAACCTGGTAATGAGATACTTCTACCTAGAAATCTAGAGTACTAGAATTCTCTCTCCACTGTATAGTGTGGAGTTTCCTCCATTGAAGCTATGGGAGTAAGCACACTGACATTTCCTTTTGATTGGATTGAGACAATAGTCAATACACAAAGACATTGTTTGTAAAATAGAAATATTGTCAGGCACTCTTTGACGAAGTTGCTTTATAAGCAGCAAAAGAAAGTTGATGCAGTGGCTATGGATATTTTTATCATCTTCCACAGGAAGATTTGATTTTGGTTTCAAATTGATAGCCTAAATATGGATGGCATGTCAAATTATTTTCAATGACAATATCATTAATTATCTTGGTTCCAGATATGACAATCTTCAAAACACAAGATTCTATTAGATGCAATGAGTTCTGCAACAACTTACTGGGGCTGTTATTTTATGACTCAAAATTCACTCTTTCTACTTCTTCAAGTACAGTTTTAAGAAATAAGAGGAATATAAAGTTTTTTTTTCCATCATCATTCACACATTGTAGCTAAATTAAAATGCCATTGTTTCAAAATTCTTTCTATAGCTGCATGAAGAGACATCCAACATTTCCTTACACTGTATTAATTTCAACGGGGCACAACCATCATTCATTGAAGAATAGAGTACTTTGTACACTATTTACATTATTCGGACTATTGTCATCTTTGTCACCATATTTTTTACAACATCCGAAACGTAATAAATATGGTGACAAAGATGAGGACAATAGTCCGAATAATGTAACTAGTGTACATAATACCTCATCTCAGAAATATAGACAGATACAGAGTTCTTTGTATTTGGAAAGTCTGATTGCAGAATGTGAAAACCAAGTAAATGTTTCTTTAACAATTCCAACTTTCTTGGAAGACTCACTTATTGCATCTGAAACAGTCAATAGTAGTGAATGACAAATGCAACACACCAAAAACAAACCAGGAACTTCCTTCTTGAATTTTGCTTATGCCTTTATTAATTCCTATCATTACTGATGCGTAATCTGTTCCAACTGCAACTTCCTTCTTCAATTCAAATCCATGTTTTCTCAAAGAATTTTTAATAACCTTACAAATTCTATCAGCATTGCATTCCTTAAGTGGGAACAAATCCAAAAAAGTTGAATTATGCTTTATCTTGGGAATAGTATCTAATTATCAAACCTAGAAGCTTAGAGATTGAAATATCATTACTTTTATAGCTATTAATCTATAGCTGGTATCATCAATATCAGCTCTTAAACTTTTTCTAAAATGTGGTGCTAATATGTTTGAAATAATAGCTGAGCATTTTGTTGAAGTCATGTTATTACAAATTTTACTATCTGAAAAATTTGTTTTGCAGAATTTGGTTAAATTGTCCACAAGTTTTAAAGCAGAGCTGTTACAAAAAGTGTTATATTGCCCTCTGCAGTTTGATTTGGTTTGATTTATTTAGTTTAACAGCATATCAACCTCAAAGGGTTATTAATGCTGACAAAATTTTTTGGATAGGTTTGCATGAAAAGTATTTGTAAGGAATCATTTTGTAAAGGGGGATTTTATTGAGTCAAATGTATTACTGGAAATAATTTTTCCTTCAAAAATTGGTTACAAAACAGTGTAGGTAAGCAGATTTGGTAAACAGTTTCTTTTTCTTTTTATATTTTCCTGTAGAGCCCAATTTCTTTAATAAAATTGAGGTTATTTGGATTGGTATTTTCAAATAAGTCCTTTAAATTATCCAACTTGTAGTTGCTGGAAGTTACAGCAATTTAGTAGAATATGTTTAATGGTATATGGTTCTTGGCATGGGACACACATTGTCAGTTCTTCATTTTTTGTCTATGTTGGTGGGTTATGCATGTATGTCCTATAAAGAGTCTGGTTAGAACCACCTCCTCTCTCCTTATCTTTCAGTAAGTGTCTTTCATTGATGATTGGCTGGATGTTGAGAAATTTATTGTTTACAGTTGTTCTATAATTGCTGTCATTTTTCTTTAATGGTCTTGTTTATGGTGGGTCAAAAGTCTGTGTGTGGCACCTTTATACTTGAGAGGGTCATGTTCAGCAATTCCTTTGCCAGCTTTTCCATTTTCTTGTATGCCAATATGGCTCAGTATAGGACTATTACAGCATCTTTTTATTATTTAATAACTTATTTATTAAGGGGTTTCCAAGTTTCTATTTTTCAGGGCTGTGAGCACGGATAGTGAATCTGAAAAGATAATGAATCTATCTGACCCACTGGATTCTATATCTGAAGCCAAGTGCACGGCTGAGGCATATGCACTGAAGATTGAGGCTTTGTCAAGCAATCTTTTCTGTATTGTTGTTAAGGATAGCAGAGCATCCAACTCTGTCCAAGATTTTAGAGCCATCAGTGTATATAGGCTTATGATTTGAGTGAGCTTGTAGAACATTATGGATGAGTTAGAATTAATTTTAGGTTATTTAGTAAGGTTTAGCAGAATTGTAAGGTATTTTATTAACCATGGTGGGTTTTTGAGTTGGTGGTTTTAAGAATTAGGGTTGGATTTATTTGTGTTTTGCTGAGGAGAGTTTTCATGTAAAGGCCAAAAGGTTTGATAGCATTTTCTTTTTATTAAATAGACCTAAACTTTGAAACTTCTATCTGACAAAAAGTTATTTATGAAATTGGGTAATCTTCACTTTAATCCCAGAATGTATAGGTCTTTCATTATTCCATGCTGTCTCACAGGCCCTTTTCTAGATCAAAGAAAATGGCTGTTGCATGTTCTTTTTTAATAAAAGCCA